AATACTATTGTGATCATTGCGATGTGGGGTACAGGAATATCACAGAGCATCGTACCAAGTGTCCTTACCGATGTTCATTTTGTTTAACAGACACATCCTGGCCTCCAGACGGGAGCCACATTCAATGTAGCCAATGCCAGGGATTTTTTCAGAGCAGAACTTGCTACGAAAACCATTTACGGCCTCACAGTAAGAATACGACAACAACAGTGTGCAGTTTAATGGGACGATGGGAGCATTGTGAGAAATGGATGCCTAAAAAATTACACCCTCATCATCATTACGGACAGAAACAATGTAAGAAAACTGTAGACACGGATCATCAGTGCTTCGTTCAACTCAAGCCCAAGAAAAAGAAGGGAAAAGAGACATTACAGTTTCATATTTATTTTGATTTCGAATGTACACAGAAAAACGGCATCCACGTCCCTAATCTGTGTGTGGCACACCGCGTATGTCAACACTGCGGGCACTTACCCATAGAAGAACCCTGTCCTCACTGTCGACACATGGGACCCCGTGTTTAAAGGACCAGATACCTTAAAACACTTCATGGACCGGTTATTACAGTCCTATTCCACGGATGGGAATAAGAAATCTACTTTATTACACGACGAGGCAATTATCACTGCCCACAGTTTCAAAGGCTATGACGGACAGTTCATTTTAAATTACCTGGTGCATTCTGCCTTCATGGAGCCTACAGTCATCATGAACGGCAGTAACATCTTATCCATGCAAATCTGCGGATTAAATTTCATCGACCCTATAATTTTTTACCTTTTCCTCTAAATTGCCCTCTGCTTTCGGATTCACGAACTGAATAAAGGGTATTTCCCTCACTTTTTCAATACGGAACAGAACCAGAATTACGTGGGCCCTTATCCCCCGGCGGCTTTCTACAATCCGGACGACATGTCTATAAGTGGACGACAGGCTTTTTACCAATGGTACGAACAACAGGCCGGAAAAGTGTTTGATTTCCAGAAGGAACTTTTAGACTATTGTATTTCAGACGTCGATATTTTACGACGATGCTGTGCACAGTTTCGAGCCACTCTCAAGAGCTTGGTCAATGTAAGTAGTATAAGCAGCCTGGATGGCCGGGTCAACTGAGTGCACTTTTTGTCCCCCCAGATCCTGGATGGCCGGGTCAACTGAGTGCACTATTTTTGTCCCCTGGGTGGTTCAACACAGAGACCTTGGAAAACCCAATCAAAAGGGGGGTACGTTTGTGCTGAGTCAGGCATAGGCAATACACATAAAAACTTGGCATCGATTCAAATCACAGCTCGGTATGCATTGTGACGTCATGTGTCATTCACACAGAGCTCCCTATTTTCATAATGTGTACATAATTACTTTTTCTTCTGGAGTTTCAGGGTCTTCTCCGCCTGGGTACCAGGAACTTTCCTCTTGTTGTTCACAGTAATGGGGATTTTTCCCTGGTCTGCCTCCATTCCTAGATTACGAATCTCATTTCTCATCTCTTCTCTAAACTCACGAAGCTCATGCATCACCACTTTTCTAAACATACGTATATTGTTATCAATTTCCTGCATTATCATGGTCATTTGATCTAAGATATCACATATCAAACTTCTTTTATTTCCTTCAGTACTATCCTGTGTCTCTGGTATGAGTGCAGGTGAATTCATGGAATTTTCCTCTGCCATATTTCTACGTCTGTCTAGTACCAAGTGCCCACTAAGACTGATCCTAAAATTTCCAGCTCTGCTTTATTTACCCTTTTGTACGTACTGTGTACGTCTCAATACTTAGTCTTGGATCAGCGAGCTACCTATGCATTGTGACGTCATACACTCTATAAATACAGCCTTTCTCCGACTTTCAGCTCATTTTGTTGTCAGATCTATCAAGATGAATTTTGATAGTGCCTTGAAACAATTGTTACATGCACAACAACTTATGAGATGGAAAAAACGGGAGAAAGAATTAGAAAGAATTATTTCTCGACAGAGAATCAGAGAATAAGTTCTCAGGAAAAAAAATGCATGATTAATGGAAAGATTAAAGAGAGCCAAAGCCAACCGAGCTCAACACCTACAAGTTTTAAGGAATCTACCTGAAGAAGAAGAACTACCCTCTCCGTCTTCGTCACCACCTCATTTACCACCCCAGAAGCCAAAGACCATTTCCCAGTATTACCAAGTGAGACTCAATCAAGCTAAGCATTCCAGAAAATTTAAAGCTAAAGAAGATGTCTACAGTGTGAATTTTAAAGAATTTCCAGAGGAGGAAAACAGAGGATTTGTTCAGCGATTATTTAAAGACATGCTACAAAATCTCAAATATCAAATGCAGTGTAACCCTAAGGATTATGTATGCCTGAACATTCACCACCCTTTTCTGGATTCCGACATTTGGTACGAGTTTACGCAATGTAAACATTTGAACGAGGACGTCATTTTAGACAAAATAGAAGCCGTGCAACAATCTAAGAAAGATTTTAAACTGGGAGACGGGTCTATGGAATTCGACATGTTTCATGTCAAATATCCAGAAGGCAGTGGTGGACAGAATACCAAACTCCTGATGGTCAATAAGGAGAGTTTTAAGAAGAATAAACGATCCATCGTTCAGATCGACAATCCCTGGGATAAATTTTGTTTAGCTCGGGCTATCGTAGTCACCCGGTCACACAGTCAAAAACCGGAAAATCCAGAGAGTTTAGTTGAATGGGAAAAATTATGGAAACCCATGAGGTTAGGAGATGTAAGAGCTAATGACCAGAAAAATGAAGCTATAACTCTCATGGAACAAGCCGGCTGTGATATTCATCAGCCTTGTGGACCCGAAGAATGGGGAAAATTACAACAGGTGTTAGCCCCTCGCTATCGACTGAAAATATATCAGTTCAAGTCGACATCCTCTAAACTCAGTTTGGAGCCCCTGTACAAAGGCTGCGGAGATGGAACTTGTTTAAACATTTTGTTAGACGACCATCATTACGATGCTATTTTATCTATGCCAGGTGTGACGGGCAATCAATACTATTGTGATCATTGCGATGTGGGCTACAGGAACATTACAGAGCATCGTGCCAAGTGTCCTTACCGATGTTCCTTTTGTTTAACGGACACGCCCTGCCCTCCAGACGGGACCCACATTCAATGTAGTCAATGCCAGGGATTTTTTCAGAGCAGAACTTGCTACGAAAACCATTTACAACCTCACAGTAAGAATACGGCCACAACGGTATGCAGTTTAATGGGACGATGCGAGCATTGTGAGAAATGGATGCCTAAAAAATTAATCCCTCATCATCATTGCGGAGGACAGAAACAGTGTTAGATCTGTAAGAAAACTGTAGACACGGATCATCAGTGCTACGTTCAATTGAAGCCTGAGAAAAAGAAAAAGAAAGGCAAAGAGACATTACAGTTTTATATTTATTTCGATTTCGAATGTACACAGAAAAACGGCATCCACGTCCCTAATTTATGTGTGGCACACCGGGTATGTCAACATTGCGGACACTTACCCATAGAAGATCCCTGTCCTCACTGTCGACACATGGGACCCCGTCAACACGTGTTTAAAGGCCCAGATACCTTAAAACACTTCATGGACTGGTTATTACAACCCGACACAGGAAATAAGAATTCCGCCTTATTACACGACGAGGCTATCATCATTGCCCACAATTTCAAAGGATATGACGGACAGTTCATTTTAAATTACCTGGTACATTCCGCTTGCATGAAGCCTACAGGCATCATGAACGGCAGTAAAATCTTATCCATGCAAATCTGCGGATTGAAATTCATCGACTCTTATATTTTTTTTATCTTTTGCTCTGTCTAAAATGCCCTCTGCTTTCGGATTCACCGAACTGAAAAAAGGGTATTTCCCTCACTTTTTCAATACAGAACAGAACCAGAATTATGTGGGCCCTTATCCATTCTACAATCCCGACGACATGTCTATAAGTGGACGACAGGCTTTTTACCAATGGTACGAACAACAAGCCGGAAAAGTGTTTAATTTCCAGAAGGAAATTTTAGACTATTGGATTCAGACGTCGATATATTACGACGATGCTGTGCTCAGTTTCAAGCCACTCTCAAGACCTTGGTCCATGTAGACCCCTTCCAGGAATCCATCACTTTTGCCAGTGCGGCCAATTTAGCTTACCGTCGAGGATTCATGCCTGAAGATACCATTGCCATCATTCCCAACATGGGGTATCAGCCTGCACGTCAATATTCCGCCAAAGCCTGTCGGTGGCTAACCTGGATGAGTCACCAGAACGGATCTCACATACGACATGCTAGAAACGGAGGAGAAGTCAAGATCGCAACTTATACTGTAGATGGATACCAGGAAGCTACTCGTACCATCTACGAATTTTACGGATGCTATTGGCACGGATGCCCTACTTGCTATCCGAATTTACAGACCGAAACTCATCCTCACCGGACACAATTTACTTACCAGGAATTACACGAGGAAACTTTAAGGAGGAATACGGTCTTAGAGGAAATGGGGTACTCCGTACATAGTATCTGGGAACACGATTTCGATCAACAAGTACAAAGAGAGGTGACATTACAGAATTATGTACGAGACCTGGACATTCCAGATCCTTTGAACCCCCGAGAAGCTCTGTACGGAGGGCGGACCAATGCTACAAGATTGTATTGTGAGGAAGGGGACATGAGATACGTGGGCGTCTGTTCCTTATACCCTTACGTGTTAAAACACAGACCTTTTCCGCTAGGCCATCCCAGATCATTACAGACCAATTCCAGGACGTGAGAACTTATTTCGGCCTCATTCACTGTCGGGTCTTACCACCCCGAGGCCTTTATCACCCCGTTTTACCTTATCGCACAGGAAGCAAGTTATTATTTCCATTATGTCGAACCTGTGCAGAACGACAGGACTCTACTTCTAAACATCGATGTCAACACACAGACCAGGAACGCAGTCTTACAGGTACTTGGGTGACTACAGAATTACATAAAGCCTTAGACATGGGATATACTTTAGAGCGGATTTACGAGGTTTGGCATTTTCCAGAAAGCAGTAAAGATTTATTCAGATCTTACATCGATACCATCTTAAAGATCAAACAGGAAGCTTCTGGATTCCCACCTGATTGTCAGACGGAGGAACAAAAACTAGATTACATTCGTAAAGTAATAGACAGAGAAGGGATTAGAATGAACCTGTTAAATATAGAAAAAAATCCGGTGCGAAGAACGATAGCCAAACTCTTTTTAAATTGCTTGTGGGGAAAATTCGCTCAACGCCTGTTGTTACCTAAAATTCGATACTTGACCGAAGAAGAGGAAGTACAGCAACTCTTACAAGATTCGACCATTGACATCAAAGGGCTAGAACTCTTAGAAAATAAAGAGCAGCCCGAGTCGGACATGATGCTGGTGAATTATCAAGAGAAACAGGAATTTGTAGAAGAGTGTCCCTTCGGAAACGTGGTACTGGCCTGTTTCACTACCGCTCATGCCCGATTACACCTCTACGAGACTTTACAACCTTTAGGAAATCGGGTCCTTTATTTCGATACGGACAGTATCATATACCAACATAAGGAGGGACAATTTAATCCTACCCTTGGCAACAGTTTAGGAGAATGGACCGATGAATTAGACGGGGACCACATTATCAAATTCATGTCAGGAGGCCCCAAAAATTATGCTTACCTCACCGCCAAGGGAAATTCCGTGTGTAAAGTCAAAGGATTGACTCTTAATTATCGGGCTTCCAATATCGTGTCACCAGAGACATTAGAAAAAATGCTCAAGAAATTGATGAAATCCAAGTCTCTTATCCTTACAAAATACAGAGGACTCGTCAACATGAAGTCAAGACAGTACCTTTAGAAAAACAATATAGAATTGTCTATGATAAGAGATAATTAATGAATGATTATAATACTTTACCTTATGGTTATTAAAAAACTGTATTTCAAAATGTGTTGTTATTTTATGGGGAAAACCCCAAAAATGAGGGGTTATATAAAGGGGGTAAAAATATTTTAACACTTCAGTCATGGCTGTTCATTCTAGGGAGCCAGAGGGGGTTCCTGTTTACCCTAAGTATGCTCTGCTCTTAAAGAGAGAAGCTACCTTTAAAGATGGATGGCCCGAGTCTTTAAAAGGATTATTACCTAACCTAGCCAAAGCCGGATTTTATTACAGGGGAGTGAGTGATAAGACCACCTGTTTTCACCAACTGGGAACCTACAGACGATCCTTATGTAGAACATGCTTATTGGAACCCTAATTGTCCTTACATCAATACCTATAAAGGGCGTGAGTGGGTGATGATCGTATTCATTAACCATTTACTCCGGGTGGGATACAAACTTTCACCTGAAATTAAACCTCTACTAAACCAAACCTCTACAGAGATTCGGGGAACAAGAAAATGTCACATTTGTTTAGAGGGAGAATTACAAATTGCTTTACTCCCTTGTGGACACGTATGTTGCTGTTCATTATGTGCTCCCACCTTCCGGTATTGTCCCATCTGTCGAGCCGATGTGAAGAGAACCCAACGTATATTTCTGTGTTAACTATGAATAAAAAGGATTGAAACCCTATTTTTCTCTTCATTTTTCATCATGCAACTTGACGAGACACTCCCGTCTTTTCAATTAAAACAAGAATTTACCATGGTGGTAGCAGGACCTTCTAAACCGGGGAAAACGGAATTTGTTAAAAAATTAGTGGAAAATTTACATTGGATTACCCCCATGCCACAAAAAATTGTCTGGTGTTATCGGGAATGGCAACCTGCTTATACTTCTTTAACAGATCAGGTCTCCTTCATTCGAAATATTCCAGAAGACGATGAGATATTAGTGGCCAATTTAAGTATTCCTCACTTACTCATTTTTGACGACATGATGGGAGGAAAAGCCATCGAATCGATCGTGGATTGGTTTACCCGTAAAGCGCATCATTGGAATACCAGTGTGATATACATCACTCAGAATTTATTTGATCGGGCACCACAGCATCGCACCATTAGTTTGAATGCTCATTATTTAGTGTTGTTTAAAAATCCCAGAGACAAATCTCAAATCAGTGTCTTGAGTCGACAGTTAGCCTTACCTCATTTGATGTCGGCCTATCAAGAAGCCACCAGTGTTCCTCACGGGTATCTCCTGGTTGACTTGAATCCACAGACCCCAGACGAATACAGATTGAGAAGTCGATTGTTTGAATTGTTAACTATACACATGCCACAAGAGTATAAATAAAAATGTACCAACATTAAACTTGTCATTTATCATTATAAGTCGTCATGGGTCGACCTCTCTCAGCCAAGAGTAATTAGTGAAAACGTTACGACGTTTACAGCGGGAGCGAGATCCTGCCAAGCGAGCCCATTTAATCGAATTAGGGCGTAAAGCCTTATTGAATTGGTTTGCTATGGGAGCTCGAAATTTGATACGTGGGGTCTTACCTATCAATAAACGGACTCAAGTTTATTAATAATCATCGTCAAGATTTAAGTATCATAGCCAATAAGTCGGCGAGTGATCAAGACAGAAAAAATGCCATTTTAAAACGCGGAGGAGCCGGATTTCTAGGCGGAGTCATCATTCGTCATTTATTTAAATGGAATGCACCTAAGAAACGTGTTCGTCGTTTAAAAAGTGTGGTAGTGCGAGTCAATAATAAGAAACAAAGAGTGTTTCCAGATTGGATGGTGCGAGTAGGAGGAGCAGCTCATAAGACCAGAAAGAAGAGAAAACCTCCTAAGAGAAAACCTGCTGCTGCTGTTCAAAGAAAAGCCCCTGGTGATAGAAAGAAAAAAACTACTCCCAAAACTCCAGCTCAACGTAAAGCCATGCCTGAAAGTTTAAAAAACGAAATCAATCAGTATTATGAAGAACAAAGACAAAAAAACTATTGGGGAGTTATTAAAAAAACAAGCTGAAATGAGAATGGATCGTCCTATGGGACCCATAGGCAGTCAAAGAGCTCCCGATTTAGAAATGTTTCCTCAAGTCAATGTGGGAATTCCCTCCTAGAATTAAAGTACCCATTCACACTCCTAAAATAGCACGCTTTCAACCTCTGACCGCTTCTACACCTCAACTTCCTAAAGGAATGAGATATAAATGCCGATATTGTTCCAAAATCTACGTCACCCAGAAAAATAGAGACAAACACGAGAAGGACAAACACGACATGTATGCTCCTCCTTGAGAGTATAAAAAGGGGAGAAACCTGGGACATGTCCTCATTTTAACCCCAGGATGGCTAAGAAGAAGAAAAGAAGGACTTGTTGTTCTACACGATTAAAACCCCATTGGCCTCTTTTAAGAGTGTTATCTGACCCTCACTATTCCTCTCCATTAAAGACGGGTATTTTAAAACATTCACTACTGGACGAAAAAAGTGCTGAGAATCCCAAATTTTACTGATAATGTTTGATAATTACTGATACTGTGCTGTTCTTGCTGATAAATACTGATATTTACTGTTATTCTTACTGTTGTTACTGATAACTTTAGTTGTTTCTGATAAATACTGATAATTACTGTCGTCTTTACTGTTGAGTCTGATAAATACTGATAAATACTGTTGACGCGCTGTCGATGCTGAGATTTACTGATAATTACTGTGGTCATTGTTCTTGAGCTGAGAAGGTGCTAAAATAGAGCTTACGGTTGTTAAAACCTTTTTCAATCTTTATTTTCTTTTTATTTAATTTTCACAACAAAATTTTCATGTTTCTTTATATTTACTGCTTGTGACAAAAAATATGACACTGATCTCGATTACAGTACGGTTGTGAAAATCTTGACAATTATAATTAAAGTTAAACATTAAATAAAATTGTCAGCGTAAAGGCAAATGTTTTCCAAGAATCTATGAAAATAGTACATGTTTATCTGTAAGCGGGATAAATGGAATTTTCCTTTTGCATGATTTCATTTTGACATAAGTCACTTTAATACTACATATAAAACATTAAAGGTGCTTGGACACAGATTTGAAGTTAATATTTTCTCAAATTTTCTATATAATTTCATGACTTGCATGTTGCTATAGCATTTCATACTAAAATATAATAAAAATCTTATTTCATCTCGAAGTTATTGAAACTTCAAATTTCTGGACGCGTTTGATTGACACATCCTTGCACTTTCACAAATTTTAATTTTATTCTAATACTTAAGAAAAGTGGCAATTTTGTTGTGTATTAATGAAAAAATATTTAAACTATAATTCAGAAAATTCAGAGTAGAAATGTTCGAAAGCAAAACCCACTCACAGTATTGTCAGTCCGTGCTCAGTGGTGTGTGCAGGCTTTAACAATTGAACACACCCGGTGAATCGTAAACATTAACAATAACAGAGCTCGTGCCCCGTTTACAAAAACAGTCTACGTTTCACGGGTGTATTCAATTTGTTAAACTCTGTACACAACACTGAGCTCGGGCTGACGATATTAGTGAGGGGGTTTGCTTTCGCACATTACTACTCTGAATTTTCTGGATTATAGATGTAATGTTTTTCATTAAAACACAACAAAATCGCTTCTTTTCTTAAATATTAAGGATAAAGATAAAAATTTTAAAAGTGCAAGGATGTGTTAATCAAACGCGTCCAGGAATTCGTAGTTCCAATAATTTCCAGATAAAATAAGTTTTTAGTTATATTTTCGTGTGAAATGCTATTGCAATATATAAGTCGTGATATTATACAGAAAATTTGAGAAAATATTAACTTCAAATCTGTGTCTAAGCACCTTTAAGGCTTTTTGAAAAAAAAAAAAAGAAAAAGAAGATTGATAGCCCTACTTAAGAAATTTGGGTAAGGAGGTTGGTGAATTTCATTAAAAAAATACTGAAGTTGAAATAATTATTAATGGATGGGAAAAATTTTGATTCGGACTTTTTTTTTTCACTCGGTTAAGACGCAGCTATGTTAAGGCTTCCCGAAGCTTTAAAATGCGCTCAAAACATATGTCATTGCGAGGTCGGTTTTGGTTTTAATTTATAAGTATTGAACTTTAGTACTTTCATTTTATATAAAGAGTTTCCTCGGCTATATATTAGCATATTTGTTATGATATCACATGACTTTGTTGATCACGTGACGGTCATTTATAATTTTTTGAAGTGTTTCATATAAATCGCTTAGGCGCAGCTGATTAACACAATAATTATTAACATTTTGTTATATAAATAAACTTATCGTATCCTTGTGTGTCCGAAATGTGCTTGGGAAAAGTCATAGTATTACTTGGGTACAAAATATTTCCTGAGGAATTCAACTTACCTACAAATTTGAGGGTATTTTCCACACAATATCGTAATCTGTATTAAAACAAAGCCAATACACATTTTTCCCAAGCAAGATTCAGTTAGAGAACAACCTCTTCTTACAGATTTCCACAAAAATTCTCAGATTAATCCTCATTAATCACCTGCGCCAGACTCTTTTATACACACAAAATAAATTCTACCTCCAACCACGGGTATAAAACAGAGTACATTTCAAAAGTATATTTTTCATAAGCATTTTGAACATTATGAATTTCAATCAAGGGTAGGTGAGCGGTGTATTTTTAAAATATTCGGACATATAAGACTTAAAAAACCTTTAACGAACCGTGAATTTTGCAATAGCTATCTAGCATTTTACATGCAGTTTGAAATAAAGTGTAAAGTTCATGACACTTTCCCCGTCTTAACACCACAAGTTTGCAGTGACCTGACGTCATTTTCCATTATGACGTCATATTTTGGTAGTTCAGAGATGTGAAGGCACAGAGTGCACTGTCATATTCTACGGGAAGCCTTAACCTACCTGCGGAGAGGACAAACAATCATTTTCATTTTAAATATGGCCTTAAG